ATGCACAATCCCTTCTTTTACACATAGTGTATCAAACTCTTTCGACACATACTCTCCACCACCATCAGTCCTCAGAATTTTCAGCTTTCGACCACTCTGTCTTTTGACCATAGACTTGAATCTGGAAAATACCTCAATCACATCACTTTTCTTCTTGATGAGGTAAGTCCACAAATTTCGACTGTAATCATCTATAAACGTGACAAAGTATCTATTGCCACCAATCGAATCCACCTGGATTGGACCACATACATCAGAATATATGACTTCAAGTATTGCCTTCGACTTCCTTCCTGCATCCTTGTTGAAGTTATTCTTGTGTTGTTTCGACTGAACACACTCCTCACAGACTTCACTTGGAATGTCGATTTCTGGTAATCCTGAAACCATATTTCTTCTCTTCAGTTCTCTGATGTCATTAAAGTTGAGATGACCTAGTCGAAAATGCCATAACCACTCATCTCTTCTTCCTGTAGTTGCTAGACACTTGTGCTCCATCATATTGAGTTCAATCTTAAAGGTCTTATTCTGAGACATTGGAGCCTTCAAGATTAATCTACCACCTGCGTCGAGAACTCTCATCATCTTGTCTTTGACAACTATCTTGTAGTTCTTTTCGACAAGTTGCCCTATACTATGCAAATTACTCTTCACGCCTGGTATGTACAACACATTGGAAATTGTTGACCTTTTGCCATCTTTCCTCATAATCAGAACATCACCAACACCTTCAGTTGCTAGAGTGTTGTCATTTGCAAACTTCACTGTGTTCTTCGACGAGGGCTTCATATTGACAAACCAATCTTTACTTCCAATCATGTGTGATGAGCATCCTGAGTCCAAGTGCCACTGATCTTGGAATCTTTCTTCATCTTTTGTTGTGACCATTAGCAATGTTTCTTCTTCTTCATGTTCCGTCAGCTTTGCATTAGTCTCTTGATTTCTCTTCCTTTCTGGACAATCACTAACATAATAACCATACTTTTGGCAATTGAAACATTGAATGTGGCTTTTGTCTGTCTTTCGACCACCACCTCTTCCTTTATCTGCAGCACCACCTCTTTGGTTGCCTTGGTTCCAAGGTTTCTTCTGATTCGACTAGTTTCCTCCTTTGTTGCCATTCCAGCTACCTTTGCCTTTTCATTCCTTTTCTGACTGCGCCTGCAAAGCCATATCTTTCGACTTTCCTGCAGCTCTCTCATCCATCCTCTGTTCATGAGACTCAAGAGTCCCTTGAAGCTCTTCCTTCGTCAACACTGATAGATCTTTCGACTCTTCTATGGAAACTACCACGTGATCGAATTTTGGAGCCAACAATCTCAAAATCTTCGAGACAATTGCTTTCGTCGTTAGCGCTTCTCCACATACTTTGATTTGATTCACCAACTTTGTAACTCTGGTGAAGAAATCTGTAATGTTTTTTTTGTCTTCCATCTGAAGCAACTCATAGGTTCTCTTGTGAGTTTGTAACCTCACCTCTTTCACCTTCTCTGCGCCTCCAAACGACTTTTCAAGAATCTCCCATGCTTCTTTTGCTGAATCAACATCACTAACATTTTCAAAGTTATCAGGATCAACACACTGATGAATTTTATAAAGAGTGTTGTATAATCTTTCTTCTTCAATTCTTTGTCCGCAGCCTTTTCCGCCTCCGTTGCATTCTCCCCAAGCGATGTTACTTCGTCCTTCACAAGATCCCAAAGATCTTGATAACAGAAAATCACCTTAATCTGTTTGCACCAATTCTCATAATTGTCTTTCTTGAGAATTGGCAAGGTCGTTGGAAAGTTGTCGTTCGGATAGTTCATCGCCATCACTATCTTCCTTCCTTCTCTCAACCGGAGCTCTAGATACCAGATGTTGGAAATTCACCTCACACCCTATGAAGAATTCCCTTCAATCTTGATCTCAAGATTGATGAACAAACCCACAATATGATAGTAATGGTGATAACAAGTAAAGAGTTATCAAGAACAGCAAAAGAGAAGAAGAATAACAAACAAACAGCAAGAAAGAGAAGAATGAGAGAAGAAATATTTAGAGAAAATTGTGTTACCCACAAACTGTGGGATTTCTTATTACTATTGAACTTTCACTTGCTAAACTCTGCAACTGTGAAATCTGTTCTATTTTTTATTACAAAGCAAGGCACCTATTTATAGTTTTAGGTTTACAAAATCCCAAAACATAAAAGGCCCAGAATATTCAAAATCAAATCTAATCTAAATCATATCAAATCTTATCAAAACAAATCTGTGTCAAAAGAAACTGTTTTGACACACTGAAAGCTTCGACACTTGACTTAGACTTTGAATGTTTCCTTGCTATTTCGAATTCGACACACTATGAATTACATTTAACATAATTATCATTTCAGTGATTTTGAAGAAACCCAAGCTTCTTGGTTGAGTTTAGCTTACTGTACATTCTTTTTCGATAGAATTTTTTCAGTTTTGAATCGGTAACATGAACAATAGAGAGAGATATCTACTTAGAAACGAGTTAGGTCGAGATGGTGGTGGTAGTGAAGGGTTTCAACAGATATCACATCAACAACCGTATGTGCACAGGCACATGATGCAAAATCAACATCCATAACAATACCAACAGCATCCATAGAATCAACAATTTTAACAACAACAACAACATCAACAACAACAACAACAACAGTGGCCGAGAAGATTGTACAGTCTAAAACAAATCTCTTTATCTTCAGTCTTTTGATTTTTGTTTTGTTTTTTAAACTTTTGGAAGCTGGACAGATTAGTTTCTTATAGTTTTACATTTGGAAGGTGACTCTTAAAATCTTCTTTGATTTGCTCTGATTTTTGTGTTTGTGTGTTGTTGATTTTGTTTTCCAACAGAGAGAAAGAGAGATCATAGTTTGATTTATTTATTTGTTTTATGCTCTTTAGTTGTTTGTCCATTGTTGTGTTTTGTCTAAAACGGATAAGAAAGAGATTGTGTTTGTTGTTATGAATTAATTTAAAGAGAGATGTTAAGGGAGTTTTTGTCACAAAGAAGAAGATGCTTTTGAAAGTTAAGGAGATATTTTGTTCGTTTTCTCTTTTTTATTTTGTGTGAGAGAGATGATGAAGTGTGAGATTTGGGAAAAACTATTATCAATTTTGAGTTATTCAACTTTGTTATTTACTCATATTATTTACTCTTTGTGGAAAATTTTGGAAAAATAAAGGGATTAAAGATTTGATTTGATTTAGGAAAATTTGTGAAAAAAAAATTGAAAAATAAAGAGATGAAGATATGAAGAATTTATTTATGAAGATGAAGATATAAATATTTTATTTATTTATGAAGACTTAATTTTTTAATTTAATATTTTTATATTTTTAAATAAAAATAATAATTATGAATGAAACGAAAATTGTTTTTTTGCCATTGAATCACACTACATCATCAACTCAGCTGCTATATCATGCAAAATTTTAAAATAGAGGAATTAAAACTAAAAAAAAATAGAGAAACTAAAATTGCAATTAAACCTATTCTTTTTTAATAGAATAGTAAAACTGAAAAACTCTAGGAATTTGATGACTTTGTTGAGAGATGAGAACATGGTCATCTCTAACCCTTCCCAAATGGCATGTCATGTAGTAAGCTATTTCAGTAACCTTTGAGTAGGTTAAACCAAATCCTTGGTATAACTGGCTTTTCTGAAGGTAATTTATCTTTTATCTAGGAGTTCCTATTTTTAAAGGAAAGTTAAAAACTATACATCTTCAACATATTGGTGACAATATGATGGCTAAGGTATCTGCTTAGAAAGGTTCATTGTTGTCTATGGAAGGTATGGCTTTGCTTGTCAACTTTGTCATCCATTGAATGATTAGTCATTTCATGAGTGTTTACTATTGGCCTGTTACTTTTCTCAAAACAATTGAAAAGGCTTGTAGGAACTTCTTTAGGAATGGGGATTTGAATAAGAGGAAACTTGTAATGGTGGCTTAAAGTACAAGTTTCCTAAAAAATAAAATAAAAGATTAAATGATAAAAATAAAGAGTTGGGTATATTCCCTCTATCTTAAAATACAAGTTTTTAAAAACGGTTACATTTGTATTAAAAAAAAAAAGTAATAAATAAAAGAACAAGAAAATAAATGTAACAATATTAAATATGGATAAAATTGATAAAGTTAATTAATTTTACATTGAAAAATTAAAACTATATTTATTTTAGGACAAATTTCTTATCAAATTTCTTTGTTAAGATTAAAAAAATAGTTAAAATAAATTATGATTAAAATTAGAAGATTTTCATTTTATATATATAATCAAAAATGCAATTTTACCATAGTACTATACATTGTTTTTATTTATAACTATGATATAGAATTCTATGACACACGTTTAACACATAATCCTTAAAATGTGTCATATATTATATTTATTATACCTCCGTTATTTTATATAAAAGACAATTTATTTTTTAGATTTATTGAATAATCAATATATCTGATTTATAAGTCAACCAAATATACTAATTATTTAGTAAATCTAAAAAATAAATTGTCTCTCGTATAAATGAATAGAGATAGTACTAGATTTGTCAATTTTATTTTAGGATCATTTTTTAACACACTGCATATGATATGTCAAAGTTCTTCTACCATTTGTCAGTAAATAGGCATGAACAAAAAGAGAAAAGAGAAGGGAAAGAAGAAAAAAAAAAAAGCTGATCAAGATTACAGAAATCTTGTGTCAACTTTCTATTACAATGTCGTCATTGTCATGTTTGGACTTGTTCTCTTGCTATATTATTGCAGCTCCATGGAAATCCAGAAAAGAAAAATCAGAAAAACACAGTTCTATGGCTTCTTTGTTTCATGCTTCTGCACATGAAATGCTTGAAGAAATGTCTCAACAAACAAATTCCCATTTTCTGCTTCTAGCTCAAGCACATTTCAGAATGCAGAATATCTAATACTCTGTAAGATTCTTTGTTTAATGATATGATGATGACTTGACTGACCCTTTTAATTCTACAGTATCAAGTGAGGTAGAATTGACATCAAGAATGGAAACAGGATCACAATGACGAGAACAAGACCAAGAAGTATGGCATAACACGTCCATTTCCTTGAATCCTTTTGATGCTCTCTAGCCTCATGAAGTTGTTCAGTACCTCTCCTAACAAAAGAACTAGCGTGTGCGACATGACTCTCTATGTTATTCAGTTGTTGTCCTTGTGATTCAACAAGTGCTGCCATGTCCAGAAAAACTTGATGTAACTCAATCAAGTTTTTCTCTATTTCCTTAACAGCATCATGTCTTTCTTGAATCTCAGATATTGTGTCCATAATTTGACCCCTACCCTGTTCCTGAATTGCTCTCTGCATAAAAGTTTCACTTTCTCCACTTGATATCAAATTCTCAATTGTGTCTTCATCAGCTTTCTCACCTGTTATTGTAAAATACCTTCTTTCAATTGTTTCCTTGTACTCCTGTTGCATTCTAGCTCTTAACCCTTGAAAATCATCCATCATATCTTTGAGTTTTTTCCCCAATCCACTAACCACTGAAGTTCTTGTTCTATCTGCTGATGAACCTGGTCCACACCCTGCAATCTTTCTATTTGCAGCATTCGAACGTTCTAATTCTTCGAGCTTACCCTTTATGATTTTAACTCTTTTGAGAACCTGTTCAACGTCTTTATCCATCCTTGCTCTAAGATCTTTCATTGTTTTAGCATTATGGACAATTTTGCTTTCTTCATTTGCCTCTTGCAATTTTCTATAAAGCTTCTCAACATGCCTCATGTCTTCTTTCACATTCTCGACATCCTCAAAGAATTTATCAAGGTTGATGCTTTCTTTTCCTGCTTCTACATCATCCATTTGAACTTGCTCCTTCAAGTCAGTGTATTTCTTGAAGGAGCTTGAAAACAAATCATTCATTTTTGCAAATTTTTAATGAACAATGACCAACACTGTTTTTTTCTTTTTCTTTTTTTTCCCTGTCTTTTGTATTGGTTTCTTGTGTACTTGGTAAATCCAGTGACAGAAAAACCTTACAAAAGAAGAATTGATCGTTTGATCATGTAACACAATTCTGTGTTTCCTTAATGCGTCCTCATCCTTCTTTGGATTTGATCAATTATTTTTACTGATGGAGAGGAAACAAGAAGGTCACAAACGGCAAAAGAAACTAATTAGATACCAACAAAAGGGTAAGAAGCAAAAACAAGATGTTTTCTTCTTGGGGTGGATGTATTAGAGGTTCATGGTTAATGTGAAATGGAGACCAGACAAATTAACTAGATAATACTAATCAAAGAAAGGTGTTTAGATGTTGGATATACCAAAGGTTACTCCTATATGAACATGTGGCATTGCTGTTTTTTCTTCTACTCTATTAATGACTTCTTCATTTTTATTCCTGTCCCCTCAGTCAACTTTGTCTTTTTAAGGGGTACTTTTGAGCTGAAATTAAAATTTGTATAAATAGAACTATTAAAATTATCTATCAAATTTCATTTAGTTATTAATAAAATCTCTATGATAAAGTTATCATAAAATATTATTATTAGGTGATGAAATCTACAGGAAATTTGCATTGTTGAGTCATCATTGCATCAAATATTTTATACATATTTTTAACAGAAATAATGAAACTTGTCTAAAACTTAAAAAACAAATTAAGTTTATAAATTTGAATGAATATTTTATTTTTATTTTTAGCATAATATATAATCCAATAAAGAAGTTCAAGATATTATTATTATTATTATTATTATTATTATTATTATTATTATTATTATTATTATTATTATTATTATTATTATTATTATTATTATTATTATTATTATTATTCAAAATCTCACATTAGAAAATCAAAATGTTATATGTGTAGTAAAATATTTAAAAATCCATGGAAATTCTACCTCAATTATTGTCCACACTTAGTTACTTAATTGTGGCATATAGGAGAATTTAACTTCTCACCCTCGAAATTATACACTCTTTCAAACTTTCACAATCTTAAAATTACTCTTAAAAAAATTTAAAACAAGTAAAAACTCCTCAATATTTAGTGATCTCAGATGTGTCGATATGAATGACGACTCATTATTTGTGTGAAGATCTTTTTCTTACACCTCTACAAGAGACTTATGTAAACACTTACTTCAAATCTCATTTATACAATTTCGTTGTTCAAGACCCTGAAGAATTGTCTTGCCTCCATTGATAAGATTAGGCAAAATAGATAACATTTTTTTTCATTTAGGATCTTTAGTATCACAAATAGGTCTGAAAAAGTATGTATAAATAGTAAAAGTATATTTTTTTCTCTATCATGGTACGGAGTGACGGTATTATATACGGGTACAATGACTTCAATTTGGAGAGAACTGTTGAAAAACTACTCTTTTTTTAAAATTTTCTATACATCTGTCCTTTTTTAAGGAAATTTTTTAGAGGTTTTTTTTTCTCTTTTCGAATGGTAAAAATTTCTCAGAATCTATAGTATATGAATATAAAGTATATAGAGTGTCACGCAAATCAGTGTCAAGCAAATCTATGTTTGAATCGAAATTCAAATACATATGCAACTTTTTTCATTTTGGATCAGACAGATTAATAGCGGAAAGACGATTACAATAAGTTCTTTCAAAATTCACTATTTCTTCTTATGTTAGAGGTGTTCCAGAAATGTCTGCGATCAAGTAAATAACCTTAGGAACGCGAGTTGGAAAATGGAAAGATTTGTACAAGTCATATTCGTCATCACCACTTTGTGGAAAATTATTTGCTATCAATATGTTAGAGATTTCTAACTCGCTTGGTGAAATAGTATCTTTGTTCAAAAAAATATTTTTTTTTGCACCGCCAAAAGAAAATATTTTCTTTCGACGGAACAAGACATTGAGAAACTGATCATACAAAACATCATAATTACAGGACCTTTTCTCATAAAAAGAGAATATTTTCTTACAATCAAAATCTTGATTACTCAATAATCGAAAATTTTCAAAAATTTTAAAAAAATTTATAAAAAATTGAAAATTTTCAAAATCTCTTATATTTATCACGAAATTTCCGATATACACCTATAAATTTCATAATTTTTGAAAAATTTTAAAGAGTAAAAATGACATTTCATCATAATTAAAGGGGTGTCATGTATAAGTGAGAGAGTGGTAGGTTAATTCCTCGACATATAGGTTTGTTTTTGTTGCAACCTCCAACATCTACATTGTGGTGATTTAAAATGGTGTATTAGTCACGCATTACTTAAAGATATGACATGTATAATGTTTATAAAGTTTGAGCAGTTCACACTTTATAAATTAATTTTGCAAGAATGAATTAGACTAAACACTCATTCTAAGATGGCATCAAAAGCCTATCTAAAAACTTTTGTTAGGCCTACCTTATTGTTCACACTTCAAGCTCAATGGAATCTGAGCATCGAAATGATAGAAATGAATTAGACTAAACTCTGATGTCATCAAAATTTTATCTTAAATCTTTTATTGAACTTACCTCTCACATTATAAGATGTCATCAAAAACTATTATAAGATGTCGTCAAAAACTTATGTTGGACTTACCGCATTGTTCAGACTTCTGGCTCGTTAGAAATTACGTCTTAGAAATTATGTTTTAGAAATAACGTATGGCTCATTGAAACCTAAACATGAGAATTAGAAATTATGTCTGACTCATTGAAGCCTGAGCATGACAATGTGTATTAGAAATTATGTTTTCATTGCGAACCATCACATCCTCCAAAACCTACATTTTCTAGGGTTTGGAGGAAATTTAATCACACATTACTTTGAGATATGATTTGTATAATTTTTATAAAATTTGGATAGCCGGTTTTATAGAAATAAGATAGTCAAGTTCAAAAAAAAAATCATTTTGCCCGATTGTTGTGTTGCTTGGTTGTTTGTATAAACAATTAACTGAGGCTTTTTTGGTGTTCAGGATAAAACACTTACTAGGAACTGGGTAATGGATAAGACAGCCAACAGTATGAGCAAAATTCTGCTTCCAATAAAGTAAAACAGCCAACAGAACTTAGACTAACTAGAAAATTTTCAAGGGTTAAAAATTAATTGGGAGAACAAATTAAGCATAGTTACATTTTCAATGTTGTCAAAATCAGGTGGCGCGGTGAGCCCTCAAAAAGAAACTAAATAGCTTCAACCCACTACCTGATTCAGCTGCATTCCATAATTTCCCTACACAAAACACTATGTCGTCCACTCTGGAATATTTTGGTTTTTCACCAATTCCTTTTCCTCCTGCCTCTCTTTATGTACAAACACGAATAATAAGATGCCGAAATGGATGAATTACAGCAAAATATTTCCCCACTTCAACAAGCTTTGCAAGAACGTGTCAAACTATGCCGTTCACACATTCATAGACAAAGACTGAGCGTGTTCCTTATCTGCATTATGACTACTGCTACCATGGATAACACCATTGCTAAGCTTCTCTTCCCTCGCTACATTTCCTACCTGCTGTGACTGACTACCTGATGAATCTCCAGTACCAGAGTTCAACACATTCTGCTGCTGCTTGAGGCATATCTCAGTGGCATCGTGGAGCAGCTTCATTACACCACCAGAATCTGAACCAGGTGACAATTCTTCTTCTCGCTCCGGCTGGATATTGAGGTCAATTCTGCCTTTAAACGGAGATACGGATGATTTTATCCGGTGAGGATCATCATCGGAACCGTCATTACCCTCCTTGTTCATGTTTGGGCTACTATCACCTGTATTATTACTATTATGCAAAGAATCATCATCAAGCAAAATCTCGGATGAAGGCAATTGCTGGGAATTCTGTTGCTGCATCTTTTTCCGTGTTGTCTCTGCTTCTCTTTCTGATTGTTTCTTCTCACGCCTTAACATAAGGGTACGGAAACGACGTTTCACCGTTAGACAGACATTACACGTGCATGTCTGCTTATGCTTGGGGCCCTTTCCACTTGGAGGCTGGATGCACACAATGCAGGAGCAGCCAGGTCTATGTCGTGGGTGTTTAGTTGTGGCCTGGGAAGATGCCGGGAGAGCCTCCCCTTCCCCTAGGATAGCTAGATTTGCAAGTGTATCAAGTCCCTCCAAAGCTTCAGCATGATCAGGATCCTGCTTAGCAGCCTTCATTTTCTTGGAAACAGCTGCCAAACAAATGCAATTAACAAGTAGTTTTCATACCCTTGTTTAACAATTTATTATATTAAAGATTACACAATCCATGACAAGGAATCTGAGATATTGGTTAAAGTAAAGAAATAAAACAATTCAAACCTGAATTACAAGGGGGTAACAAATTCTCAAGTTGTTCTGCTGTAAGCTCTTGTGCGACTGAACAAGAAGACCTGACAGCAAAGAGGATTTGCAAATTAAAATAAAGCACTAATGTAGTGATAATATATTTATAAAGATTAATGGTGTGCTTTGTGCAAATAAGAATAAGTTGACAGGAAGACTGGAAGAGCATGAAATTTTACAATGTATCTTGACATGATAAATGGTATGGTACGTCGTCAAATTATCAAACACTACTTCCACACATATTTTCTCCTAACCAATCTTGTCCTACACGTGGAAGGATATGTTTACAAGAGAATGGATCACACTCTACCTTTCTGGATCCCAAGAATTATCAGAACATGTCCATTTTGATGGAAGAAGTGCACATGCTGGCAATTTGCGCCACTTCAGACAATCTTCACATTGAGCCCACTGGATTCTTTCACTGGAAAATAAAGTACATTGCTGGCAATTATTTACTTGGGTTAATTACAAAAAATAAACCAACCAGTCTAAAGAGAAATTAAATAAATCATGTGTAAACATGTCTTCCTTAGAAATTACCAGATAAAACACGCACAGCAATAAATAAATAAAAAGATGCATAACATCCCTTCAGAAGCAC